GTCTTAGAGCTACATTCTCAAGACAGCTTTCAGTGAACTGTGAAAATTCTCAGCTTTTAACAACATTATTTATAAGTGTGTATGCCATATGCCATAGTTTTAGAATATTACAAATGTATAAATAAACCAAATTAAAATAAGTACAGGAAAGCTCCAAAGGAGTAAACAAAATCTTCATTTCTTCTGTAACTTCATTCTTCTTAGTTTTTCCAAGGTCTTCTTTATCTCCTCTGCTGCTGCACTGTATTAGTCAGGGTTCTCCAGAGAAATAGAACCAATAGAAGATACAGATATGGATATAGATACAAATGGAGATTTATTATAAGGAACTGGCTCAAGAAATTATGGAGGCTGAGAAGTCCCAAGATCTGCTGTATGCAAGCTGAAGACCCAGGAAAACTGGTGGTATAATTCAGTCCTAGTCTGAAGGCCTGAGACCAGGTGAGTCAATGATCTAGGTCCTTCAGTCCAAGGGCAGAAGATGGGATGAGACATCCCAGCTCCCCAGTGAGGCAGGAAAAAGGGGGCAAATTCCTCCTTCCTCTGCCTTTTGTTTTTTTCAGACCTTCAAGGGATGGATGTGTCCTACCACACTGGAGGGGGCAATCTACAGAGTCTACCGATCCAAATTCTAATCCTGTTAACGGAGTCCAAGCTCACTCTGCTCGCTGCCAACAGGCCAATAAATCAGGAGACGAGGTATTGAGGTAAGGAATAGTGACTTTATTCGGAAAGCCGGCAGACTGAGACGATGGCAGACTAGGGTCCTCCCAGAACACTATCTTATTGGGGTCTGGATGCCAGTTTCTTTTATAGAATTAGAGGGGGAAGTAAAGTAAAAAGGCAGAATAGAGAGGGAGAGTAAAAAGGGCCAACAGCCTTGCAAAACATCTCCTGGAATGGCCAGCCTCAGGAAGGGGATGTGTAATTTCTTCTTTCTTGCAGCCATTCACACGTGGGTAGGGTTCCTGAGGCAGGCCATTATGTGTGATTACAGTAACAAAAGCAACAAAAAGCAAAGGCTGAAGTCAAAGAAACAGATCCAACATGGAGTCAAAATTGGCTCTTCCCTGTTACAATCCCATCTGTAAACACCCTCACAGACACACCCAGAAGCAATATTTAATCTGGGCAACTCATGGCCCACTCAAATTGACCCATAAAATTAACCACCACATGCACTAAAAAACTTTGCAAGGAAATTTGCAACAGAAGAGCCAAATCCATCTTCTTCTTTATTCCAAAGTAATTTCCTAACTCATTTGTAAGCAGTCTATGTAATTTTCAAAATGCATTTGAATATATACTCTAGACCAGTGGTCCCCAACCTTTTTGGCACCAGGGACCGGTTTCGTGGAAGACAGTGTTTCCACGGATGAGAGGGGTAATGGTTCTGGCAGTAATGCGAGCAATGGGGAGCGATGGGGAGCAGCAGATGAAGCTTTGCTTGCTCACCCGCTACTCACCTCCTGCTGTGTGGCCCGGTTCCTAACAGTCCACAGACAAGTACAGGTCCATGGCCCAGGGATTGGGGACCCCTGCTCTAGACCATAAGAGGAAAAGGCTGGAATAATCCTTCATAGACAGATCTATTTTATTGGTTATAGTTTGACAGATTTAAGTAGAAAGCTGAGGGAAGCACTGTGGTAGGCTGTATTCTTGTTCCCAAATATTTGCACCTCTTGTGCCTGGCAGCAGGTGTCTGCCTTGGGAGGAAGAGGCACCTCCACTGGGCTTGGTCACGTGACTTGCTTGGGTCAATGGCATGCAAACAGACCAGGCAACTGTCATGTCTGAGCAGAATCTTTAAGAACCATTGAGTGTTTCCCCTAACTCTCTTGCTTTTCCCTCTTCCAGGAGAAAGCATGTCCCAGACAAGAGCTGCTCCTTCAGAGTAGGCAGTGGGATGGGAAGACTCGCAGCTGATCTGCAGCCAAAGCAAGAAATGACTGTCCTAAGTCACCGAGGTTGGGGTTTTGTGTTAACACAGCATAAGGAAGGAGTTTTAGTGCTACAGTCTCAAGGTAGTTTTGAGTGAACTGTGAATACTCTTAGCTTTATACATTATTATTTATGTGTCCATGCCATATGCTAAAAGAACAACTCATGGACCACTCAGATTGACATAAAATTAACCATCACATGCACAATGACAATTCTTTCTGTTTCCCCAAGATCTAGGCCCTCACTTCTAATGTTTTCTTCTCCTTCTCCTTGCCCTTCCCCTTCCTCTGCTTTCCCTCCCTCTGTCTCCTCCTCCTCCATCTCCTTCTTTTCCTCCTTCTGTATCTCTTTCTCTCCATATTCCACTCAGCATATTCGTAATTAAACGCAGCACTACTGCTTCAAACCTGTCTTTCCAACTTCTTGCTCACCCTCAGGTGATGAACAGGTTCATCTTTGACCTTCTCCTAGCACATCTCACAATCTGCTTAATGTCAAGTTTGGTCATTTCAGCTTGTCGAGTTCACTCTCACCCTTCCATGCTGCCCAGTGCTGTCACCTTGGCTCAGGTCTTACAACCTCAGGCATGGATTTTATAAAGTTTCCAGGTTGATAACCCAAGTCCCCCTCTCTCCCCTCTATAATTTATCATCTAATCCTCCCAAAGGTCTGGTCACACTACAGCTCCATTCAGAAGGCTTCTGTGGTATCAATGTCTATGCTACAAAACAAAGCCCTCTACAATCTGATCTACTTTGATCATATCTACAATCTGATCTACCTTGACTCACAGCTCCATTCATGTACTCCAAGAGCCTTTCTGATGGGACCACTCATCATTTACCCTAAAAGTACCATGTTTTCCCAGCTCTGTGACTTTGCTCACTCTGTTCCCTAAGCCTGGAAAGTTCTGACCCATCTTCTACCATATTCAAAATGCACCATGGTTCAAATATCACTCCTTCCAAGAAGCCTTCATTGATTCTCCCAAGTAAAAGCATTATTCCCTCTTCTGAGCTCCTATAGCAGGGAATCCCCAATCCCCCGGCCGCGGACCAGTACCAGCCTGTGACCTGTTAGGAACTGGGCTGCACAGCAGGAGGTGAGCGGCAGGCAAGCGAGGGAAGATTCATCTACACTCCCCATCGCTCACATTACAGCCTGAACCATCCCCACACACCCCCACACACCCCTGGTCCGTGGAAAAACTGTCTTCCACAAAACCAGTCCCTGGTACCAAAAAGGTTGGGGACTGCTGTCCTATAGCACTTTTCTTGGCACTCTTATCACCTGTTTTAAATTAAGAGTATAATTTACATTAAAGTATATGAATCTTAGGCTTGATGAACTTTTACATACACATCACACTTGTAATCCTCCACCCAGATCAAGATGTAGAACATTTCCAGCATCCCAGGAGGTTTCTTTGTTCCCCTTCCAGTTGAAATTCCCTTCCAAACGTAACCTCTATTCTGATTCACCCGACATTGGTTTTGCCTGTTTTTGAACGTCATACAAATGGAGCCATATAGTACCCACTCTTTTGCGTCTGTTTTCTCTCACCCAACATCACATCTCTGAGATTCATCAGATTGTGCATATCAATCATGTGGGTTGTTTTTTTTTTTTCGGTACGCGGGCCTCTCATTGCTGTGGCCTCTCCCGTTGCGGAGCACAGGCTCCGGACGCGCAGGCTCAGCGGCCATGGCTCACGGGCCCAGCCGCTCCGCGGCATGTGGGATCTTCCCGGACCGGGGCACGAACCTGTGTCCCCTGCATCGGCAGGCGGACTCTCAACCACTGTGCCACCAGGGAAGCGCAATCATGTGTTAATTTTTATTGCAGAGTACCCCACTGTAAGACTATACCATAATTTATTTAACAATTGTACTGTAAATAGACACTTTTCTGTGTTTTGGCTATTACAAATAAGGCTTCTATGGTCATTTTTGTACATGTCTTTTGTTGGATACAGGTACTCATATTTCACCTCACAAATAGAATTACTGGGTCATAAGGTATTTAAATGTTTGTATTTGGAGATATCAATACTACCAAACATTTTTCCCAAGTGGTTATGCTAATTCACACCCTAACAGCAATGTAAGAGAATTCCAATAGCTCCACCTCCTTGCCAATACTCCTTATTGTCAGAGATTTTTAACCCTTTCTGGTGGCTAGGTCCTCATTCTATATTGAATTACAACCACAAACGATAACACTTACACAGGGCTTGACAGTTTGCAAACTTTCTAAGTGTGTAATATCTTAAAGCATATTCCCCACAGCTCTATAAAGTAAGCAAGGAGAGTCCCATTATGATCCCTATTTTATAGATGAGGAAACAAAGGCTCAGAAAGTTTAAGCAGATCGCCCAAGGCCATAAGTCACATGCAGTAGAGACCATGAACTCTGTATGTCCATCACGCTATACGGTTTACAGTTATTAGGGGACATGTTTTATCTCTGCTAGTTTACTAACAGCTCTTCGAGGTTAGGCTTTATTTTAACTTAACGCTATTTAATAAATGAATGAATGAACTTAAATATAAAATTGAAATTTCTCCATCTATAGAGAAAAACTTTACAATAATTGATTACAGTAACATAATGAGAGACTTCCCTGGTGGCGCAGTGGTGAAGAACCTGCCTGCCAATGCAGGGGACACAGGTTCAAGGCCTGGTCCAGGAAGATCCCACATGCCACGGAACAACTAAGCCTGCGTACCACAACTACTGAACCTGCGCTCTAGAGCCCGTGAGCCACAACTACTGAGCCCACGTGCCACAACTACTGAAGCACGCCTGCCACAACTACTGAAGCCTGTGTGCCTAGAGCCTGTGCTCCACAATGAGAAGCCACTGCAATGAGAAGCCCCCACACCGCAACGAAGAGGAGACCCCACTCACCACAAACTAGAGAAAGACCGCTTGGGAAGACCCAATGCAGCCAAAATAAATAAATACATTTATTTTAAAAATAATAACAGGGGCTTCCCTGGTGGTGCAGTGGTTGGGAGTCCGCCTGCCGATGCAGGCGACGTGGGTTCGTGCCCTGGTCCGGGGAGATCCCCCATGCTGCGGAGCGGCTGGGCCCATGGGCCATGGCAGCTGAGCCTGTGCGTCTGGAGCCTGTGCTCTGCGGCAGGAGGGGCCGCATTGGTGGGAGGCCTGCGTGCTGAAAAAAAAATAATAAAAAATAATTTAAAAAAAAAAATAACATAATGAAAGAAGCATCATCATTTGTTACCTGAATCACAAAGGGTGGTATTTCAGATCCACAGATCCACAAATACCGAAACATTTAGCCCTATTTAATGACTTTCTTAGAATGCTGAAGGATTCAAAACAAATTTAAATCCTCTCTTTGAAGGATTTTTTTAAACACTTTTTTCTTTTTTTTTAAATTCGCCCAATTACTTTGCACACAGCACAGTGGAGCTCAGCTCTTTCCCCTCCTGTCAGTGGTTACTGAGGAAACTCTGTTTTCAGTGCTTTAACTATTGTCCAGCTGTGTTTATCCTTGGCACCACGCAAGAACAAAATCCTTCTAAAGGGCCTTAACTTTTATTACATTACCTAAATTCTACCTAAAAATTGTCTTTATTATATTACATTACATATTTATAGGTACTTGCATAAAACTAGGAATAATTCTCCTTATGCTTAGAGTTTTATATAACTATAGAACTCTAACATGTATATAAATTAAAAACAAAAAGCCAATAAAATTCAAATTAGTGAAGTTAATTTAGTATCAAGTGGTGATGTTTTGGTGCTTACATTGTGCATATGGTGCTGGTGCTGGAGTATCGATTCTTTTCAGTTTGTCCAGCCCTGACTCTTGCGTCCTGGAGATGGCCTGTCTCTCCTCTTCTCTATTTAACTACAGCAGCTCTCCGGAATACAGCACCTGCTGATTGCTGCGGGGCCCACACACATCATTTAAGCATTAGCAGTCTCTGTCCTACTACTCACTGCTGTTCAGTTAAGTAATAACACTTGGTGCCAACAACTAATCCAGATCACAAATGACAAACACCTAAAATTTCCTGGCAGTGTCTCATACAAGGCTCTTTCTGATTATGCTGATATTAATGTATGTAAACTACCATAGAAATGAAGACACAAAATGTTAAATCCTCTTAGAGAACTGCTATACCTTATCCCTTTTACCTTAAAACACTGAAAAATTAGAGACAATTCAAAAAGCTTTCCACTGAAGAAAAGGATGGGTTAAATGCAACTGTGTTTGGTCTTTGGAGGATGCCAACAACACAGGCCCACAAAGAGAAGAGGTACTTGCTCCATCCATAAGGAGCAACAGAGCCAAACATTAAGCTACTCAGACTATTCCTGACAGAGTCATCATCATTAGAATGCAAAGGAAAAGCATTCATCGGCAATAAAACAATCAAAGAAAAATAACTTCTAATTGAACAACATCAGTTAAACTAACTCATATGTAATGCATTTTTATTTCCCTTCAGTGCAATGTACAAATATTTGCCTAGCATTTTCTCTCCTTCTGCACAGGGCATGACGAGTCAAAAGTGGCTTATTAAACAACTCGCACCCTCACTCAAACTCGATATCTGGCTGGATTTTCTGGGCCAAGGCAATCAAAGTTTAAGGAATGAATGGAATATTTGACTCCTTGTCAAAAAGACCTGCATTCCCTTCTCATTCTCCAAACCTGACTTTATAGCCTCTCTTTTTAATCCTAGATTTTATCAAAATTCTGTTGGATCATACAAGTTGTAGTGTCATAATGTTTCTAGAAGTTGCACAGAACATATTTTGACATCAGATTATTATAGCATCCTATGAAGTAGACATTGAAAAGTTCTTCAGATGAAAGATGAGCTGTAAATGTATGTATTTTTCCAAACCCAGATTTCCTTTTCTACCCAAGAGGACTCTCACACAAAAAAGAAAAAAATTTTAATAAAAAAACAAGATCTCTTTTCAATATCCCATTTACATTCTCAGAATATGATAAAAGAACTTCAGTGGCAAAAAGATAATTATCTACACGTTGCCATCCCCTTCCTGAATAGCTTGAGATAAGAAGTGACAGGAAGAAAGCCAAGAAAGCAGGAAGGAGGGAGAAAAAGAAGGAAGGAAGGAAGGAGGGAAGGAAGGAAGGTAAAAAGGAAAGGGGGAAGGAGGTAGAGAGGGAGGGAGGAAGGAAGGTTGGAAGGAAGGAAGGAAGGCCAGAAGGGAGGGAGGAAGGAAGGAAGAGGGAGGGAAGAAAGAAATGAAAAGAAAAAAAAAAAAGAAGAAAAGCTTGCCTTAAAGAAATATCAATGAAGCTGACAGCTTCAACCCAATGTTTTCTACTTCAGGAAGGTCATACATAAGTACAGTCACCCCTATGAAAATGGCCTTTGTGACATAATTGTCTGCCTCAATAATACTGAAATTTGGAGAAATTTGTCTGTACGTTCAAATAACATTTCTTTCAGGAATTTGTCTCCAAACCTCGATGCTGCTTTTCATTTCCTACGGTCATTTTAAAACTATATTAGTTAAAGAAATACAAATTCCTACCCGCATTTTTATCAGCTTCGGTATTGTTTTCCTTGTGAGTGAGCAGAATTACGTTCCCTGTGAGTCGTCTTGCCATAGACGGGCACACTCCCTGGGTGACATTCATTGTTAGTCTGACTATCACCTCCTTATGCTCCCCCCTCAAGTAGTGAGTAGAGGTTGCTTATCTGTTTCCTGCATTGATGTTAAGTGTGTGCACATTTCCTGTGACTAAAGAAATATATACTTAAGACTATTGGTGGAAAAAAAGGAACAGGGCCTTCAATACTAGGCCTCAAAGTGAAATGTCAAAAGAGGGTACACAAACACCCCCTTCTCAGGTAGAACCATAAGAAGAAGAAATGTACTAGTTCTTAGCGTTAAGCAAGGGACATGTTCTATTGACAAGAGGACAGAATGCCAAAAGATCAAATTAATTGGAGAGCTGGGTCTTATCCTTCTCAAGTTACTCCCCCTGCAGTTTTCATTCTGCATGTTTATCTGCAAGAAAAACTATTTGTTCTGTATTTACTTTGTTCTTTAATAAACACTCTGTAGATTTTCGTAGGATTTAATTAAGGTAGTCAAGTCACTCACAAATTAAGACACAACAAATTTCATATAAAAGCAACAATTTTTTGTGAAGCAGTCTGATTTTAATTCAGCAATATGAAAAGCATTTATTTCTTTTGCCAACCCATCATAAAAGCAAAAAACGTTTTGGATGAAATGTCACACCTTGGTTTAAGAAGTTCTTATTACAATATCTGTAGGCTCATTCTGTTTCCTTGACTTTGAGAAATATTTAATAATGACATTTATTGCTAAGGCAACTCTAATGAAAATGGTATTGACTTTAATTTGAACCAATATTAATATTGCCCTAAATCTATACTGCTGACAGAAAATGCTTTCCTTTACTAATATCACCCCTCAAAAGTTTCAATAAAAGCCTTGATGTTAACTTCTAAGGTTTCAAAAATCTGTAACCCAAAACGTGCCATTTGATGGATTAATGGTCTTGCCTCCTGCCATCCAAGTTAGCCAACATCAGATTGACTTTGAAACACCAAGACCTTGAAGAAATGAAGAGCAACTCAAATACAGTGTCTGAACTCCATCTTTAATTGACATTAAAATGTTTTAAAACCTAAAAGTATTTGATTTTAAAAATTAATCCGTGTTTTTAAAGTCATCAATAGAAGCACTTACATCCAGTTTAAAAGACACAGGAGAGGTGGAGGGGAAGATGGCGGAAGAGTAAGACACGGAGATCACCTTCCTCCCCACAGATACACCAGAAACACGTCTACACGTGGAACAACTCCTACAGAACATCTACTGAACGCTGGCAGAAGACCTCATACCTCCCAAAAGGCAAGAAGCTCCCCACGTACCTGGGTAGGACAAAAGAAAAAAGAATAAACAGAGACAAAAGGATAGGGACAGGACCTGCACCCATGGCAGGGAGCTGTGAAGGAGGAAAGGTTTCCACACACTAGGAAGACCCTTCGCGGGTGGAGACTGTGGGTGGCGGAGAGGGGCAGCTTCGGCGCCGCGGAGAAGAGCGCATCCACAGGGGTGCAGAGGGCAAAGCAGAGAGATTTCCGCAAAGAGGATCGGTGCTGACCGGCACTCACCAGCCCGAGAGGCTTGTCTGCTCACCCGCCGGGTCGGGGGGCGCTGGGAGCTGAGGCTCGGGCTTCGGTCAGAGCGCAGGGAGAGGACAGGCGGCGTGAACACAGCCTGAAGGGGTTAGTGCACCACGAGCTGGGAGGGAGTCCGGGGGAAAGTCTGGACCTGCTAAAGAGGTAAGAGACTTTCCTTCCCTCTTTGTTTCCTGGTGCGCGAGGAGAGGGGATTAAGAGCGCTGCTTAAAGGAGCTCCAGATATGGGCGCGAGCCGCGGCTAACAGTGCGGACCCCAGAGACAGGCATGAGACGCTAAGGCTGCTGCTGCTGCCACCAAGAAGCCTGTGTGCGAGCACAGGTCACTATCCACAGCCCCCTTCTGGGGAGCCGGTGCAGCCCGCCACTGCCAGGGTCCCAGGATCCAGGGATAACTTCCCCGAGAGAACGCACGGCGCGCCTCAGGCTGGTGCAATGTCACGCCGGCCTCTGCCGTCACAGGCACGCCCCACACTCCGTGCCCCTCCCTCCCCCGCGGCCTGAGTGAGCCAGAGCCCCCGAATCAGCGGCTCCTTTAACACCGTCCTGTCTGAGTGAAGAACAGACGCCCTCTGGCGACACACAGAGGCGGGGCCAAATCCAAAGCTGAGCCCCTGGGAGCTGTGAGAGCAAAGAAGAGAAAGGGAAATCTCTCCCAGCAGCCTCAGAAGCAGTGGATTAAAGCTCCACAATCAACTTGATGTACCCTGCATCTGTGGAATACATGAAAAGACAATGAATCATCCTAAATTGAGGAGGTGGAATTTGAGAGCAAGATTTATGATTTTTTCCCCTTTCCTCTTTTTATGAGTGTGTATGTGTATGCTTCTGTGTGAGATTTTTGTCTGCATAGCTTTGCTTCCATCATTTGTCCTAGGGTTCTATCTGTCAGGTTTTTTGTTTTTTTAATTTTTTTTCTTAATAATTATTTTTTAAATAACTTAATTTTATTTTACTTTTCTTTCTTTCCTTCTTTCTTTCTTTCTTTCTTTCTTTCTTTCTTTCTTTCTTTC